GTAAGAGTCACTCACTGTGCCCGGGGACAGGCGCTCTCAGGCGGGGAGACAGACCGGTAAGAGTCACTCTCTGAGCCCGGGGACAGGCGCTCTCAGGCGGGGAGACGGAGCGGGGCTCCCGCGGTGGAGCTCTAACTTCTGCTGCGGGACTTTAATGCAGGGGGCTGGGGGAGAGGGAGGGGACACACCGGGTCCCTCTGAGACCCTCAGAGACCCGGGTCTGCTCCGGAGAACCTGTGGCTGCTCCTCTTCATCACAATGTTCCCTTATGATGTAAATAATAATAATAACAACATAATAACAATAGGCCTAATAATAACAGAAGTAATACAAGTATATTTTACTTTTTATATTTTACAGTTTTCTTCACTTTATCCTCGCGGTCCGGAGCTCGTGCAAAAACAAAGTGCCGCGTGCCCTATCTTAATGAAAAAATGATTATTAACATGTTTTTTTTAATCTAAAAGCGGTTTGTTAATTTAGTTTATTAATGTAAAACAATTAGAGTGATCCCGTTTATTTTATTTAAAGTTTCTGAAGAAGCTGCAGTTGAACAGAAAACACTCTTTAATATTAAAAACCAGTTTCAGGCCTCAGCCGCGGGTCTACGGCTCCGTCAGTTTCAGGCTCAGCCGCGGGTCTACGGCTCCGTCAGTTTCAGGCTCAGCCGCGGGTCTACGGCTCCGTCAGTTTCAGGCTCAGCCGCGGGTCTACGGCTCCGTCAGTTTCAGGCTCAGCCGCGGGTCTACGGCTCCGTCAGTTTCAGGCTCAGCCGCGGGTCTACGGCTCCGTCAGTTTCAGGCTCAGCCGCGGGTCTACGGCTCCGTCAGTTTCAGGCTCAGCCGCGGGTCTATGGCTCCGTCAGACCCTCACATTAAAGGGTTTGTCCTGCTGGTTCCGGGCTGTATGGGGGGGAGGGTTAGTTCGGGTGTAACAGGACTCCTCTCATCCAGCTGTGGCAGCAGCTGTCTGTAAATCCAGCTCTCTGGTTCCTTCTGTTCTCAGAACGTTTATTAAAACCCTCAATGGTTTTATTTCTTAAATCTGTAGAACATGTTTTCCTGTTTCAGTGTCTCGTGTAGTTTGAAGATGTTTGACGCTGTGAAGAGCGCTCTGCTTGTAGTCTGTAGAGAGAGTTAGAGAACATGTAGAGAACATGTTAGAGAACATGTTAGAGAACATGTTAGAGAACACGTTAGAGAACACGTTAGATAACACATTAGAGAACACGTTAGAGAACATGTTAGAGAACACATTAGAGAACACGTTAGAGAACATGTTAGAGAACACGTTAGAGAACACATTAGAGAACACGTTAGAGAACATGTTAGATAACACATTAGAGAACACGTTAGAGAACATGTTAGAGAACATGTTAGAGAACACATTAGAGAACACGTTAGAGAACATGTTAGAGAACATGTTAGAGAACACATTAGAGAACATGTTAGAGAACACATTAGAGAACATGTTAGAGAACATGTTAGAGAACACATTAGAGAACATATTAGAGAACATGTTAGAGAACACGTTAGAGAACACATTAGAGAACACGTTAGAGAACATGTTAGATAACACATTAGAGAACACGTTAGAGAACATGTTAGAGAACATGTTAGAGAACACATTAGAGAACACGTTAGAGAACATGTTAGAGAACATGTTAGAGAACACATTAGAGAACATGTTAGAGAACACATTAGAGAACATGTTAGAGAACATGTTAGAGAACACATTAGAGAACATGTTAGAGAACACGTTAGAGAACATGTTAGAGAACACGTTAGAGAACATGTTAGAGAACACGTTAGAGAACACGTTAGAGAACATGTTAGAGAACACATTAGAGAACATGTTAGAGAACATGTTAGAGAACACATTAGAGAACATGTTAGAGAACATGTTAGAGAACATGTACGTGAGGGGATCTATCAGAGGGTCTCTGCTCTGACTGAAAGAGTCCAGGTCTGCAGGTCTGAGGACTTCTACATGTTAGAGAACACATTAGAGAACACGTTAGAGAACACATTAGAGAACACATTAGAGAACATGTTAGAGAACATGTTAGAAAACACATTAGAGAACACGTTAGAGAACATGTTAGAGAACACATTAGAGAACACGTTAGAGAACATGTTAGAGAACACGTTAGAGAACATGTTAGAGAACACATTAGAGAACACATTAGAGAACATGTTAGAGAACATGTTAGAGAACACGTTAGAGAACACGTTAGAGAACATGTTAGAGAACATGTTAGAGAACACATTAGAGAACACATTAGAGAACATGTTAGAGAACACATTAGAGAACACATTAGAGAACATGTTAGAGAACATGTTAGAGAACATGTACGTGAGGGGATCTATCAGAGGGTCTCTGCTCTGACTGAAAGCGTCCAGGTCTGCAGGTCTGAGGACTTCTACATGTTCCTGTGGATTCATGTAAAGTCTGCTGGTTTTAAACACGCTAACAACACGCTAACAACACGCTAACAACACGCTAACCTCATGTAGAGTAAATCTGACTCTGAAGCTCAGACTCCTCGGCAGATCTCAGACGCTAACAGGTCTAACGGGTCTCAGCTGATCCAGAGACCAGATCTCCTCACAGTTCTGGTCTCATCAGAGTCTCTGCAGATCTCAGGTTGTTTCTGTGTTGAAAGAAAGGAGTCTTTCTGTTGGTTTCTGTTTCTCTTAAAGTCTCAGACGGTGTTTAATGCTTTCTGAGATTTACCTCAACACTTTATCTGAAACACCATGAATTATTTATCCTCCATCCGATCCAGACACAAGAGAGCTGACCTCTGTCCTGCTGTGTCTGCTGATGGTGCTGATGGTGCTGATGGTGCTGATGGTGCTAATGGGTTTAATGGTGCTGATGGTGCTGATGGTGCTGATGGTGTTAATGGTTTTAATGGTGCTGGTGATGGTTTTAATGGTGCTGCTGATGGTGCTGATGGTGCTAATGGGTTTAATGGTGCTGCTGATGGTGCTAATGGGTTTAATGGTGCTGCTGATGGTGCTAATGGTGCTGCTGATGGTGCTGATGGTGTTAATGGGTTTAATGGTGCTGGTGCTGGTGATGGTGGTATTTATATTTGCTGATGGTGTTGATGGTATATTGGTGCTATTTGTGTTGATGGTTGATTGATTTGTGTCCTTGGGCAAGACACTTCACCTGAACTTGCTCCTGTGGGTATTGTCCACATGACCATTACATGTCTGTATGATCTGTATGTGTGATGTGTATTTGTAAAGCGCTTTGAGATTAATTGATAAAGCGCTATAATAAATATAAGGATTATTATTATTATTATTATTATTATTATGGTGTTGATGGTTTAGATTTGTTGGTATTTCTTATTGATGATTGTGCAGGTTCTGGTTTAGATTCTGCAGCTTTGTGGAGAAACCCCTTCCTGTCGCTGTGGATAAAAGCATAATGTGATGTTATTGAAAGACTCTGTTCACATGTTTCTGAGACACAACAAACTTCACAGAGAGAATCATCTGCAGAACAAATCACTCTCTTTAAAACGTCCGCAGATATATTGTCACAATATCAGGATTTATTAAGTGTAGCGTGAAAGTTGAGTGTTTCTCTCTGCTGCTTTCCTCTGTTTTATATGAAAGTAAATACCTGTGGACAGAAAACACATCACATGGACTCTGAGACTCTGGGATGCACATTTAAAACATTTCCTCACATTTGATCCACCTAATGTAAACGGTAATAAAGATAATCCGTGCTCTCGGCGCTGCGTCTCTGTTTGAACACTGCTGCTCTTTGTGTGTGAATGTGTGTGTGAATGTGTGTGTGAATGTGTGTGTGAATGTGTGTGTGAATGTGCAGGAGATGATGCATGTCTGTTTGCTCACAGTTTTATTGGTCACGATGCACAATATCATCATTTCACTGCAAGGACACAAATCAAGCCTGAAGACGGCTTTTATTTAGAGAAATATTATGTCTGTGTGTGTGGACATTATTTATAGAGCAGACAGGAAATGAGAGGGAGGACATGTGATAGAAAACACTGGACGTCCCAGAACACACACACACACACACACACACACACACACACACACACACACACACACACACACACACACACACACACACACACACACACACACTAGGGCTGCTCGATTATGGCAAAAATCTCGATTATTTGGGTCAATAATTGTAATTGCGATTATTAAATGCGATTATTCATTGACTTTGAAAACATCCATTTATTGTACTTTAAAACAAATACAAATAATAATTTGAACTTTTTAACTGTTGAATTATACGTTTACGGTAATCAACTGAAAAACCAATACAAAATAAAATAAATTATACATTTATGTCTACATTTAAATAAATATTATCAAAATAATAAATACCAATAAACAAGATCAACAAACATGTTGCAGTGCACGGTCACAACCTGAAAACTCCTTAACATATAGCCAACATTTTGGTAAAACATATTCAACATATTCCACTCAGTTAAACATCATGGTCCAGAAGTAACAGGAAATAAATGTTGAACTACAATTTAAGACCAAATTAAAATGTTTTGGCCTCCATGGCAAATGCTGGTAGGGCTGCTAGAAACACCAGCCTGTTTACATGGTCTGGTTTCAGAGATGAGCGCAGGCAGGTACTGCCACCTGTACTGAAGACTAGGGCTGCTCGATTATGGCAAAAATCATAATCTCGATTATTTGGGTCAATAATTGGTATCACGATTTTTAATTACTTTGAAAACATCAATTTATTGGAGAGAAAAAATGTGAACAGTATGTTTTTAACAGTTGATTACCCTGAACTTTAAGTATAATTCAACTGAAAAACCAAATAATAATAATAAAAATATAATCGTTTTATTTCGATGACGTTGTTTTCGTAATCGTTGCAAGCCATAATCGTAATCGCGATTAAAATACGATGAATTGAGCAGCCCTAACACACACGCACACACACACCTGAAGTCTTTGTTTATCTGTGAC